CATTACTAAGAAACCACGCAAACAGAGATACAAGCAAAATGATACAGCACCTTACATTACACCAGAGATACAGCACCTTAAATTACATTATTAAAGTATGATTATGACATGGTGCTGTCACCTAATATCAGCTATATTGAAAGCAGTTCATTGCACATAATATAAGATGCAAGCAAAATAATTTGTAATAATTAAATATGGATCAATCTATAAAATACTAAGCAATCTGCTATACAGTATATCAGTATACATTCTGCTGTTACAAGTACAATTATGACCTGGTGCTGCCACCTAATATCAGCTATACTGAAAGTAGTTCATTAATTGTACAGATAACCGAACTTTCACGAAAAATTGCTTATAATAAATAAATCCGAATTAATCTTAAATACTATAGGTAATCTGCGATACAAGTAAAGAAGTAGTATCAGATATGCTGAAATACAGTATATACATTACAATGCAGTTATGTACGCTGCGTGCATACGTGCAATTGTGTGTTTAATTTTGTTTATTTTTATTTATTCACAGGCTGTGTTTGAGACTTCACTTACATCATGCCACCCAACGCCACGATACTGGTCAAGCTCCAACAAACCGCTGTTGCGGTTAGTTGTTTTTATGTGGCAATTGAAATTGATAAGGCTTTAATGGCTAGCAGTAAAAACCGGGGTGTGAAGTGCGCTAAACGGTGTGCCCTTTCAGCAAAATTTAAAGAAATGAATTTTAGTTGGTAACTTGAATATTAAGTGGCCTTAAGCCGGCCGTTATGGCGGCATTGCGACGCGACAACGATTGTCTGCGACAGATTTTTCTTTGAACTGGTTGCAACTCGCTGCGACAATCATGTCGCAGGTACAGTTTGACCTAAGCACTCCTGCCAACTGCCAGCGAAGGGTGTGTGATGCTCGGACACTGGAAAATGGTCATGCGGTCGCATTGCGTCAATTTATTATGCAATCGACCTAAGGCCGGCTTAGTCTAAGAAGTACTTTATCAAGCTAGCCTCTAGTACTATAGCCCGCGTTCATTAAAGGCATAATATTTTCATCGATTATGCAAAGTTGACGAATGCTACAGTAACTGGCCACCTTGTGTAGTTAATAGTACATTACCTTATAGCAAACGCGTATTAGGTTGTCCAATATCACTGCTGGTTACTAAGAAATATCCAATTGAAATCCGCGGTCAAATAAATCCGTTGTTGACAGTTACAACCCGCCATGGCGGCCGTAACCGGCCGTAACCGCGAGGCGGTGTTCATACAGATTATAGTGCACCGGACATTTTCGCACGTATGCTCGGCCGTCAGTGATTTCGATCCTTGTTGGTCTGAGTGCGCATTCCGTACGTTATTGGTTTTACTCTTGGGATTCGGGAATAAATGAATTATACGAAGATCTTGAGATTACAAGCAACATATAATATGTGAAAAGGATATTGCCGTCACTGCCGTCACTAGGCAACAATTTACCCGGGACAAACAATTGATGCTCAACATCCTGTAGCAACATGTGAGGTCACCGAACCGAAATCGATGCTTATTTTGTT